TAAGAGTTTTTAATACCACAATATGTGGGCCTCATCTTCTGAATCTACACTGCTCAGGCAACGAAAGCAACAGCACCAGGGAAGGAAGGAAGGAAGGAAGGAAGGAAGGAAGGAAGGAAGGAAGGAAGGAAGGAAGGAAGGAAGGAAGGAAGGACTTAGGATTTAAGAAAAAACCAAGTCCAAGCATACCGGTGGATGAATAGCTTGCCCAGAGGGCCCTGCAGCTTCTCTTCATTTAGATTTTACTAGCCAACCGTAGCCTTTCCAGGTTTCTAGATAGAGGCAAGAATAATAACAGAGCAAGAGTAACAGAAGAGTAACGGAAAGTATGAATGGTCGAGCCCAGAAAACAAGTTACCTTGATTTTTCTCCATTGAAGGAAACCCTGAAAGATGGCCAGTCTCCAGGATAAAGGGAAGCTGGGAATGAAATATCAGCCTCTGTGAAAGGGGAAAAAATGTTTAACTGGGAGATGGGGAGTTGAAGGAAGTTGTAATGAGCAGAATCCTGGAGAGGTGGGTGGTGAAAGAGCCAGTCCCCTTGTAATCCTGTTGGAAATAGAAACAGACAAATGCTAGAGAAAAGAGGAAGGTTGACTTAAACGTTGCTCTTGAGAGGGTAAAACCTAAAAGCAGTTTGCTTCTCAAAGGTAGATTTGGAGATGCCTTTTAAGGCAAAGACATTTCTATTATTTAACTCCATCTTTGGGTGACCATTCCGTTCAGAGAGAGAGAGAGAGAGAGAGAGAGAGAGAGAGAGAGAGAGAGAGAGAGAGAGAGATTGGAGGGGGAGGGGAGAGGAGAGGAGAGGAGAGAAAAAGAGAAAGAACAACTTGAGGGATTTTTTTTTTTTTGCTTGCTTGCTTGAGTGCATTTAAATGAGCGTGCATCTGTAGCTTTTTAAACATCGAATCAAGCCCTTTCTTCAAGGAAAGCCTCTTTTAATTAGCTTTAGAAGCCAGCAAAGGCGTCTAATGAAGTGGGTTTATTTAGCTTGTTCATAATTTAAGTGAGGAGCAATCCAAATTGTTTATCACCAAAGTGAAGAGTTCACATTGCACCGCAGGCGTGGAAAAAACTAAAGGGAAGGAAGGAAGCAGTGTTGGTTTTCCAGGAAAAAAAAACCCTGCACCATCGGGAACAGCCTCATTCTTTTAAGGTGGGGGTCACAAACATTTAGGAAAACTATTTGATACGATCCGCTCTTCCTTTCACTTCTTCTCTTGCCCCACTCAGGAAAAGATAATTCTGCTGGGGGGAAAGCACACCCATTGAAGTAAATGACTCACTTCAGAGCACAAATACATAGCACTGGGTCTAATTATTTATAAAATGTCTCTTCCTCTGCCCACGTTTACCCACTTAAGAAAACAAATAATAAAGAATTTTAAATATTTTTTTTGATGTTAGAGGAAATTTTTTTTGTGAGAGAACATGTTTTTAAAGCACATTTCAAAATATATTTTAAACATATTTCAGAATGTATTCAAACCACTGTATGGTGTTTCCACGATCAGTACAATGGTCGCCGTTGTTTTTTTGCTGTGAAAGTATTTTAAGCCCTTCTTTCCTTCCTTCTGATTATGGAAATGAACAATAACTAAGATACAGATTCAACACCAGCCTTTAATTCTCCATTCAATTTAGTTCAAAATTTAACTGGCTTAAACGCCCTGTGTGTACACATCCTCGGGGCACCTCACGTGCAAACTCTCCAATAAGCTGCATTCGGAGCATCATTCTAGAGCATCTTTTCCCTTTTGAATGTTCACGTACCTTACTTACAAAGGAAACCATTTTTGTTGTGTTTTATGTCACTGGGGGGGGGGGAAACCCCTGAATATTTTAAAGCCCAATCATCCCAAGGAAAGCAATCGCCTCACACCTTTCCTAACCTTGCGCTCGGCTGTGCCTGGGCGCCAACCAGACCCAGCGTTGCGATTTCAAGCCCAAACCGGATTAAGTGCTAGTCAGTTTCCCCGTCTTAGCGGAAGCCTCCACTCTTCAGGAGAATCCTCCAGGCCCGGGGCAACCTCAGCTTGATCTGTGGGGACGGAGCCAGCGTTGTGATTTATTTCCGAAGTCCCAATTAACACAGCCAAAGAGGAGAACGGCGAGGAGGAGAGGGGACGTTGTACCTCCGGGGGTACAACGTCAGCGCCCCACCGCTCTGTCGCTGAGTCATTGTCAGGGTCCTGGGCGACAAGAGCTGAAAATGAGGTGGGCGTTTCCGGACCCTTTTGTGAAAACGCGGCCAAGGTCAAGATGGTTTTTGAACAGGAGTTTATTAGCGGACTAGGGGGAGGGGAGGAGAAGAAAAGGAGCCAGAGAGCGCGCGAAGCAGCAGCAGCAACCCCTTCCTTAATTAGCAACGCCTAAATAATGCGCACCCGCAGGCTGTCCCTGCTTTTTTTTTTTCCCCTGCCTTCCTCTCCTTTCTCCCTTCTCCCCCTCCTTCTTCCTCCTTTAGAGAACAAAAACCCACTCTAGCAAAAAAAATACAAAATAAAAATAAAAAAGGATGGTGGTGGTGGTGGTGGTGAAAGCCATCCACAAACCACAGAGGAGGTGATAATACTGGACCGGAGGTTATGAATGTTTTCTAGGTAAATGGCAGCGTGTCTGTCGAACCTTCCGAGGCAAGCTAAAAAAAAAAAGGAAAGAAAGAAAGGCCGGGCCGCTTTGCCTTTGGTTTTGGAGGGCTGCTGGTGTCCAGGGCTTGGCAGGCCCAGCCTGGGCCTGGCCCGGGAGAGGCAGAAGTGCCCCGTTCCCTCTTTCGCCCGTTCTCACCCGAGCACCGCCGGTCCCAGCTTCAGCCTCGCTTTTGCATTGATTTCTGGCTTTTCTCCTTTTTCTTTTTTTTCCCTTCTCCTTTTGCACCTAGAGCCAGACGCCTACAAAGAGACCCCCTCTCTTCCCCCACCCCCATCCCAGCAAAGGATTAAAAGCGAGCCTCCTCTCGCTCTTAAAAAAAAAAAGAGCGGGCTTTAAAATAGGGTTGCCAGGTGTCCACTATCTGAGTGGACAGTCCACTTTTTTCACATTATGTTCACTATTTTTTTTTCACAAAATAGTGGACATTTTTTTTATTCAAAAGCTTGATGATGAAATGGTACGTAATCTAAAGCTGTACAGTCTACTTTTTTTTTACTACTTAACCCCCTCTCCCCCCGCTTGTCCGCTATTTTTTTGGAAACAGACCCTGGCAACCCTACTTTAAAAACAGCTCACCGACGGCGAGCCGCGTCCTCCGACGGGGAAGGGACGGTTCCCCTGGGTGGGAGTCCAAAAGAGATCAAAGCAGACACACACACACACACACACACACACACACACACGCAGGCACCCCGCCCCCAGTTGCACACGCACGCAGGCACAGACACACACACGGCCCCGCGGCTGTGGGTCGCGTCGGATTTTCTTCTCTCCCGCGGCTCCGGGTTTTTCTCCCTAATTGCCACCCCCGAGCGCCTCTCGCTCCCAGGCTGTCCTCTCCCCGCTTTCTATCAGCTGCCTCGGAACAGCTGCCAGGCTGGGTTGCACCTTTTGGCTTCCCACAACGCCCGTCCGCCGTTAGGAAGCCCTCCGCTCCCTCCTCGGCTTCTTCCATAGTCAGCAAAGGAGGACGGAGGGAACCCCTAGCAGCTACGGCAAGGAGGCAAGGCCGAGAAGAGGGCCCAGGAGAGGGGGGGGGCACCCATCGCTAATGCACAGACAGATACACACAGACACACACACACACGCCCTCCCCCGCTTGCACTGACGAGGTCTGAAAAACAACCTCCGAGTCCGTCGTTTCTTCTCTGCCTTTTTTTTTCCCCCTTTCCTTCTCCTTCTTTACAACCCGTTCTTTACCCCTCCGAGCAAACTCTTTAGCAACCAACCAGACTGTGGCCCCCCCGGGGGGGTGTGGAGAGGAGGGAGAGGGGATTAAACGTCTCCTAACCCGTCGCCTAGAAAGGAGCAAGACATGTGCACGCATCCAGACACACACACACACACACACACACACACACACACAGAGGGCCCATTTTACGGAAATGAACAGTGAGGGCGCGCGAATCAAGGGGGGAAAATAGCTCGTTTAGGCCGTCAGGTTTGTTTAAAAAAAGATAAAAGTTTATTTTTCTTTTTTTTTTTCTTTTTCCCGTCGGGTTTTTGTTTTCTTTTGCCATTTTCACTCGTCAAAAGCTCTCTCTCTCTCATTCGCTCCTCTCGATATATATATATATTTAGTTAACTGTCGTTGTCATCTAAGCATTTATTTTACTGAACCCAAACAAAACAAAAGCAAACCAAAAAAAAAAAACCGGAAAAGGAGAGACATGGGGGGGGGAGAGAATATATATATTTTTTGTGGAGTTCGTTCGTTTCTTAGATTTTTCTTAAAAACGAATGAATATAAGTCTTTTTTCTTTCTTTCTTTCTTTCTTTTTCTTTCTTTCTGTTTGGACCACATATAATAAATAATATCTCTCACTTCTCACACACCAGCCTGTTCGAAATGTGTATGGAGCAATAAAGATACCGACGACGAGAGAGATCCGGGGGGAAATGCCAATTTCAGAGTCAGGAGGGGGGGAAAAAAGAGGGGGGGGGTCCGTGAGAACTCGGCGCAAACTTCTCCGCTCTCCCTCGGCCTTCTTCTGCCTCCTGGGCCGCGGTGGGAGGGGAGGCGTCCTTTCTCTCTCGGCGTCCCTCCAGAGTCCCGCCTGGCCCTCCGGCTTTTCCCGGACACCCCTCTCCTCTCTCTCCCCCCCCCCCGCCTCCTCCGGGGGCCGCTGCGGGACTCGGTGGCTACGTGTCACTTACGGGTTCCAGAGTCCCTTCGCTCCGAGTCGGTCGCTCCTCCGGCTCCGTGACTTGGTTTCCCCCCCCCCTCGCTCGCCTCGGCTCCTTTCTGGCTCTGAGTGGCTGCTGGGGGGAGCGAGGGGGGGCTCTGTCCGGCGGGGGTGGAGGAGGGGGGGGCGCCGGGGTGAGCGAGTCGCCCGGTGAGGTCCTTCACCGCGGGTGGGGGGTCCCCGGGAGGGGGTTGGACAAGGGGTTGAGGGCCGGCTGCCCCCCCGGCCCGAGGCCGTGGATCAGAACCCGGGGCACCAGAGGCCGCTGGAGTTGAGGGTGAGGCGCCGGCGGAGTCCGGTACATGCTACTGTACATGGCCGCGGCCGCCGCGGCCGCCGTGGTGCTGTCCATGCTCCCCAGCAGGCTCGGGTGGTAGAAATAAGGCGACGGGAACATCCGCTGCAGAGCCGAGTAGTTCCCGGCTTCGGCCAGCAGCTCCAGCCCCACCGCCGTCTGCCGCTTCCACTTGGTCCTGCAAGAGAGGGAACGGAGAGACCGTCGGCTGGGCCCGAAGGAGTGGGGGGGTGAAGGCTAGGGGGGGAGGCTAGGAGGGGAGGCTAGGGGGAAGGGAGCGAGAACCGGGCTGACCACCACCACCACAACCACACACACACACACACACACACACACACCCTTCCTCCCGACATAAGGCCTCCACACACCACAACCACACACACACACACCCTTCCCTTCCTCCCGACACGCGGGAACCGAACTCTGGCAGAAGACTGTTTTGGCTTGCCCGAGTCTCTTGCGTCCACCGGGCCTTTCCTTGAAGGAAGCGCAGCTGCAGCACAATTACTGCGCGGCTGGTGGGGTCTTAGAGCAGAAAACTGCTCTGGCTGGGGGGGGGGGGAGATCGGCGGGCGCAAGAGGAATCAGAAGGAGCTGCCACTTGGAAAATCCTGGGAAGCATTTGGAAGCCAAAGACAGAGAGAGAGAGAGAGAGAGAGAGAGAGAGAGAGAGAGAGAGAGAGAGAGAGAGAGACAGACACACACACACACACACACACACACACACACACACACACACACACACACACACACACAAGGAGAGCGACTCTTAAGTCTCGCCCGGCCTGACACACACAGAGAGAAAGACACACACACACACACACACACAAGGAGAGCCACTCTTAAGTCTCGCCCGGCCTATAAGTGACAACGAGAGCTGATAAACTCTTCACTGTTCATTTTCCTTTCAGAGACGCAATTACATTGTTACCTACGACCCCGTCGAACCCCGTTTTCATATTCATAATTGCTCTCCAATATTAATAACAGAAGGAAAGTCTTTACCGCCCCCACCAATTATAACATTTTCTGCAACAAAAAAAAAAAAAAAAGATGAATTTACACGGTAAACAGCTGCTTGGGTGGGGAGGGTGAAGGAAACCAGCCCCTCTTTCTGGAAAACTCCAGACAGCGTATTCCCGCTTTTTGCTGGCTCTCCACCAGGCCGTTTGAAAATAGCCTCCTCTATCCAACACTTAAGCAGACGCTGGGGGAGAAAGGGAGAGGGGAAAAAAAAAAAAGACAGCCTTGGGAGAGTTTCATTACCATCCCCTTCCTGGAGATAAGGCGCGGGCCTGCAGGAAAAAGCGAAATCGCTGGAAGGTTGTGGTCGCTGGAAACCACAATCCTGAACATTTTAGGATTGTACAACCCTGTTGCTTTGAGGGGTGGAGAGAAGGGGGAGGGGAGGATGGGAATGGAAGGTGGCTAATTTTCCTTCTGTCGGGAGACACAAGGCCTCCAGATGCAAGAAGACGAGGCTAAACGCGAGGGATACGGACCATCTCTTTTCCCTCCCTCGTGTGGGTACATTGCAAAACACACGGAGGAGGAAGAGGAAGAGGAGGTTCCGTTCCCTTCCTTCCCAAATCCGTTCCCTTCCTTCCTAACGCAGAACCTACATGTTAGTTAATCTCTCTTTGGAAAAAAAGCTCCCATAGTGAACGTCGGTGGGGTTTTCAGCAGGCGCACGACACACCGAAGTCAACCACGGCCGCACGAAACGCAGCCAGATTAACAAGCGTGGAGCTGCCTTGTTTAGCCGGGCTGTAAATGACGCTAATGTTTTCCGACAGAATTAGGGTGGCTGCGACCGTATGAAATGAGACAGAAAATTATAGCGAAGATGACAACCGGGCAGAGGTTTCCAGCCCGCGTTTCCTCTGCCAAGAAT